TTTTTTTTTAATTTTAACATTTTTAAATTAGTATTAATTTTTATTTTGAGTTATTGTAATTTAATATTTGCATTTAATAAAATTTTGTATTTAATTTTTCATTATTTTTTGAATTATATAATTATTATGAACTTATTATTATAAATATTAATATAAATAATAATCAAATTGACATAAATATAAATTAAAAAATAAATAATAGAAATAAAAAATAAAAAATATTTTATAATAGATAATTGGTGTGGGTGAATAGTATTACTCCACTGATTTGGTATAGTTTTTAGTGTTGGATTGTAGCAAGTTGCTGAGTTGGAGATGCCCTTATCAATGCGGCCCAAGGCCACAACTACAAGCCCACAAAATCATAACCCTCTAAAATCAGAAGCAAAATCCCGGAATTTTTCTTTTTCTCGACGAGTTTCTCAGCAACCAAACAGAAACTTAACACACAGAGAAACTAAGCGAAAGAGGAAGAGAACATACAATATGTCGGTGCTAATAGTAACGAGCTTAGGTGACCTTGTGCTGGATTTGTTCGTCGAAAAGTGTCCTTTGACCACCAAGAACTTCTTGAAGCTCTGCAAGTACGTTACTAAAGTTAATACTTATTTATTTCTTTATTATGAATGCGGTAAAGCAATCGAAATCTGATAATATGTTCGTATGTGTAATTTTTGTAGGATTAAGTACTATAATGGCTGCCTATTCCATACGGTTCAGAAGGATTTTACGGCTCAGACTGGTGATCCGACCGGGACAGGAACCGGTGGCGATTCCGTCTACAAGTAAGAAAGCTAATACAATAGGTTTACTAGTGAAATTAATTGAAGTTTATGAGGAGTAGGTGCGGTTGATTGATAATTAAGTGAGTATTTATGGATGTATTTGTGTTATGGTTTCAGATTTTTGTATGGTGAACAGGCTCGATTTTTTGGCGATGAGATTCGTGTAGATTTGAAGCATAGTAAGACTGGCACTGTTGCCATGGCTAGTGCTGGAGAGAATCTTAGCAAGCTGATGACTGTTGGCTTGATGGATACCATGAAGATATGAAGTTCTTTTCATATATAAGAGGTTTGTTGGAGATGTTGTACCTGATGTTTTCTTGGGAGATCCCGCAGCAGAATAACCTCTAGGGGACACAATTGGGATATAACTTTGGAGTTTGAGATGGAGTGAGTCGTGGTGTGATATATGGAGTCAGAGAAACTCTTGAGCAGTACTCCGAGAAGCCACTGGCAGAATAATCAGTTTAAAATGAACATTACTTTTGTTGCACTAATCCAGATTAAATACTACAAGAAACAATCTTTTCTTCTTTGTTGTTAAATATTAGCGGTGGTTGAGCTTTCTTACCATTATGTGTCTACTTTGGAAAGCAGAAAATAGCATTTATAATTAATTAAGTGTAGTTATACCTGCATATGCATTTCATACTATGATTTTGTTACCAACATGAATTATATAAAAGGATCCATATATAAAGCATGAGTTATGCTCAGCGAGCATTAAACTACTCCAGTTACTTCATCAACTGTATTTCCCGTATCTGTTGAGCCACTGAAGGAACGTGCCCCATATAGCATAGGCCCCCTCATCTATGAGATTAGTGGTATGAAAATTTGATTGCAAAATGACAACCAGGCAAACACCAAAAAAGGTTCAATTATTAATGAACCAAAAAAGTTACAGTGTAACATAGTTACAATAAAGACCATATTGATTATTGAATAAAAGCTTTTTAGTCAAATTAACAATACCCTGTCAGGATAGGGCTCTGGAACCGACTGGTCACAGGTCCAATATCAACAGTTTCAGCTTGCTGTTAAAGAGGAAGAAAGGAAGTGGCAACAAATAGTGAGAAGTTTGAAATAAAAAATCCCATCCTCAGGACACAAACTCGCAGTCCACTGAAATGTGTATATGTTTTGCATACCGAAGAATTATCTCATTCAGTGACTGCATTAGTTGTCTCTTAAATGTCTCCAAATGCCAATAAAGCAACATCACTCATAGCGCAAATATGTAACAATAATTAAAATTGAATGAAAACATAGACCACATCTTTATAGAGTCAGCTAAGTTGGGTCATAATTTTTTTTTCTAATAGCCCAGTGAACTAATTCAAGTTTAAAGTAATGTCTTCATGAAGCCTTGAGAAATTAAACCAGATCTTCTAAGAGCAAAACCACAGGACTACACCAACCTTGGAAGGTTAAATTGGGACATAATTTTATTCAAAAAATTGCATTCACTCACCTTTCCCAAATCACGGTTGAGATTCTTCACAGTCATTGCCAATGCATCTGTTCCTTTGAAAGCTTTGTCTTTATTCAAAAACAAAATAGCAATAAATCAATCATCTTTATCAAATATAATCAAGAAACACACAATGCATTTCATCAACTTACTAAATTCTTTGCTTTCCACACGGAAAGTTTGTATTTCCATTTTAAATACAAGACCCAAATTCACTACCTTCCCCAACTTTTTTCATCACCAAACAACAAACAGAAAAAAAAATTCAGAGAAAAAAAAAAAAAGAAAAGAAAAGAAAAAGAACACGGCTAGATTCTTCACAGTCATTTCCAATGAATCTCGTTTCTTCAAACGCTAAGTCTTTATCAAAACCAGAATAGCAACAAATCAACCATAACTCGAAATTCAAACAAGGAAATCACAAGGCATTTCATCCAACCAAGCTAAAGTCTCAATTACGCACGATCAAAAAACCTTCTATCCATTCTTACTTAAAAGAGAAAAAAAAAAACCCTAATTCCTCCATTTTCCCAACTTTATCATCACCCAATCAGAACAGAAAATAAAAATGAAAATAAAAGTAAAACAAAATCCTTTAATCTCCATATAAATTACAAAATAAAAAACAAAAATTAAAAAAAAAAAAACTCTCACATTGTCATCAAGTAAATCTTTATTTTGGACTCAGCCTCCTGCGACACTTTTTGCCCGTGCGAGAGCCTCTCTTCAAGCTCGATATCAAACGATCCTTCTCGTACAACTTGCCTCGTCCCCATCTCCGCCTCTAACTTTGACACGCGCAGCGCGATTGCCATCGACGTGATTACGCGCCAGATCCAGCTGGTCGTATGGATCCGTCGGTATACACCGCCAGTATCTCGTCGACAGAGGAAGTCCGGCCCCCCGCGCCTCCACTTCTCCGCCGTTCTGCGCCATAACAATCCCTCTATCGAACCTCTCAAACAAATCCAAATTTTTTCTTAAACTAATATATTTTGTTTATAATGCGTGTGCTTATATTTTCGGAGAGTACTATGCGGAGGTTTAAAGAGATTTAGGTGAGAGCTTTAATTTATTTATTATTAATTTGAATTTAAAGCTTGGGTTTCGTTTGGTATGCTTTTGCGGAAGTGCTTGCGTCCGTTTGTTTGTTTGTTTGTTTTGCTTTGATTTGTCGGATTGAGAATTTAAAGAGATTCCCTCCAAACAAGTCATATTTTACTAGTCAATTTAGGTTAAGACAATTATTTTATTAATAATTTCATATTTATCTAAAATAAAAAATAATAATAAAATAAAATTTTAAAATAAAAAAAATAATATAATAATTGACAAGAAAAAAAGGGCTGACCTAGTACACCACAAACACCAAATTAGACCATCTTCAACCATAAACACCAATTCACGCCAATGGGGTGATTTTTGGTGTGTTTCACCATTGTATCTCTAACATTCATCAAAAAAATATTCTTTAGAATATTCTATTTCTTTTCTTTTCTATTAATAATCAATAATTAATCTATTCTCAGTAATTATTTTTGTATATATTAATTAATGTTGAGAATGATATTTTTATTAAATAAAATTATTTTGAAAATTATATAATTTAATAAAATTAATCATTTATTTAACAAATAAACGTTACATTTAATATAGAAAAATATTATATCATATAAAATGTCACAAAAAAAAAAAAAAAAGACAACAACACACAAAAGTAAAATTCAAATTGATAGTAATTTAATTTCCGATTTAGTATATATTCCCACAAATGATCAATTAATGCATTTGAAGAGTGGGACGATAATAACTCTTGAATATATTATTTAAGAAACCGAATCTTGAATTCAATTATCTTCAATTATTAATAAAGATGACTATTTGAGGGTTTATTAGATCGGAAACTAGTCCAAACACTCTTGATAAATAAAAAAATCAAAAATCAAAATCAAAAGGAATGAATCATTGATGTTAGAAACTAGGTGTAATTGCTCGCGTGAGGATTGATAATAATAGATGATTAGCTTGTGGGTAATTACTCAATAGGAAAATAGCTCTTCTAATTCTTAATAATTAATAAGAAAAAAACAGACTGAGAAGAGAATATTTGTACTTATTAAAGTTTGTCTTTGGGTCGAATATATATTCAAATTCTGGCAGCTACGAGATTTAAGATATTAATCAAGTTTGGTTTGATAAAATGCTTATCCCCAAGTGGCATGTAATTTTATGTGATACGAAAGGGTATATAATTCTCAATCTTGTCATTAGAGTCTCTCCAAAATGAACATTTAACTTTTCTGCACATGTTTTGTTGGACGGAAATGGAGAAAATAACAAGAAATGTTCAGAGATTATTCTAACATTGAAATCATATGGGGAAATTGATTTCCATTCAGAATGAGAAAAATATGTTTGAGAAATAACTGATGACCAGAAATATGATGAGGGATTGACACATATTGGGTAACAAATTGAAGATCATAACAAGATCAATCTTAAATATTTTTTATTGATGTTCAAACTCCTGATATTCTGCCAATTTTGGACACTTATAAGCGCTGTCTGATGCATATCAAACTTAGCAATAAACTGATTGTCAAAGCATAGCCATAGGGGTTCATTTACTTCCATTTCATGCCCAGAAGAACATGCCCTGGGAATAGGGCAAGGCTCCGAAAAGAAGGAATACAACACACATACAGAGAGCAAAGAGAGTGAGGGGGGGAGCGAGAGAGAGAGAGAGAGAGAGAAGTATCAACTGAATTTGGAGAAAATTGCCGACTTACATACCAGTTCAAGAAAAAAAAAAAAATTTGCAAGGTCAATCTCAACAAGTGCCTTTAAGAAGCCTAAAGCAGATATTTACAGGTGACCTGCAACAATGATGAGGGGAAGAGGAAGGAGGGGGTGAACAGCAAATCCTAAAACTTAGTATGCTGATACATAAGCCACTTGAATCTATGCTGAATACATTTGAACATGTCTTATGGCACAGAGAATAAATCACAAACCATTGACTTAGCAGTTGGGAACTGTTTAAACCGCAATCCACTGAACAGAGCTGATCAAATTGACCTATATTCAGATTGTTAAAATGAAAAGTAATCAAATCAGTTGAATTTTCCAATAAACAAATAGACAAGCTCACCATATCACAGCTTCTATAAGAAGCATGTGTTAAGAAAGGAGATACAAAATCTTAAAATCAAGCTTCAAGCCAAAACAAATGTATCAGTCAAAGGTTGATGCAATGAAACTTGAAAAAAGACGTATCTTTGCCAATCCTATTCCACACTAAGGGGGGAGGGGCAATCTTTGACTAGTGGCCAACCCGTTCATGGCAAGCCACCACAATGTTACCCTTAGAAGCCTGATCATAAATTGTACTCAACAAAGTATTTTAAAAACTTAATAGTTTAAATGAGTATAAACTTTGCTGTAAGACATTGATTATGAACAGAGAATAACCAAATATTGAGGCATGTAAGCATGTATGAGGGACATATTCAAACAAAAATACACCTAACATGGTAATGAGGATAGACATACCTATTAGTGTAAATCTCACAAGTAGAGAACTTGTACACTCTAGTGAACATTACGGTTAAGCAATCCTTGGAAATATAGATAAAGATCTTTATTATCTGTCCCAAAAATCTCATCTGCTTTCCTTAAGGTTTCCTGAATGGTGATTGATAGAAGTAAATGATTAGTTCAGTTTATAACCCAGTACACAATCAAATTGCCAGATACAAAATTTCATCAATGTAGAAAATAATGGAACAATTTTGCAACTGATTACCTCTCGAGTTTGCTTCTGAGCATTTAATTCCTTGATGTTAGCCAAAAATGCACTGAACTGTTCATATGATAAGCGACTCCTGAATTACAAATATACCAAAATCAGTCTGTACTAAACTTAAAATCCATAATGGTATATCAGTCACCAAAAATATACTATAACTGAAATAGTAGAACTCACCTAGCCTGACGAAAGAACTCCTTTCCATCAATTCGAGGAGTGCGCCCTACAATTTTTAATACAAATACAGAATATTTAGATGGAAACTGAAGATAGTTTCAGCAAGTGTGAGAAGCAGGTGCTATGTGCTACTCAGTAGAATGCAATCAGCTATAAATGATTGAACAACCAAAATAGATACTTGAATTTGCTAGGTGCAAGAGGATTGGTCTCATAAATAAAAACATAAATACACAACTCTCAAACATTATAGAAATGACAATTAAGCATAATGAACCTGTAAGTGAACGTGCACGAGGGGGAGAATTTGCAGCTGATGACTGTTGGCTTGATGGATACCATGAAGATAATGAAGTTCTTTCATCATATAGAGGTTTTGTTGGAGATGTTGTACCTGATGTTTTCTTGGGAGATCCAGCAGCAGAATAACCTCTAGGGGACACACTTGTGGATATAACTTTTGGAGTTTGAGATGGAGTGAGTCGTGGTGTGATATATGGAGTCAGAGAAAATCTTTGAGCAGTACTCCGAGAAGCCACTGGCAGAATAATCAGTTTAAAATGAACATTACTTTTGTTGCACTAATCCAGATTAAAATACTACAAGAAACAATCTTTTCTTCTTTGTTGTTAAATATTAGCGGTGGTTGAGCTTTCTTACCATGATATGTGTCTACTTTGGAAAGCAGAAAATAGCATTTATAATTAATTAAGTGTAGTATATACCTGCATATTGCATTTCATACTATATGATCTTGTTTCCAACATGAACTTATTATAAAAGGATCCATCATATATAAGCATGAGCTATGCTCAGTGAGCATAACACTATTCCAGTTACCTTCATCAACTGTATTTCCCGTATCTGTTGAGCCACTGAAGGAACGTTGCCCCATATAGCCATAGGTCCCCTCATCTATGAGATTAGTGGTATGAAAATTTGATTGCAAAATGACAACCAGGCAAACACCAAAAAAGGTTCAATTATTTAATGAACCAAAAAAGTTACAGTGTACCAATAGTTAACAATAAAGACCATATTGATCATTGAATAAAAAGCTTCTTAAGTCAAATTAACAATACCCTTGTCAGGATAGGCTCTTGGAACCGACTGGTCACAGGTCCCAATATCAACAGTTTCAGCTTGCTGTTAAAGAGGAAGAAAGGAAGTGGTAACAAATTAGTGAGAAGTTTGAAATAAAAAATCCCGTCCTCAGGACACAAACTCGCAGTCCACTGAAATGTGTATATGTTTTGCATACCGAAGAATTATCCTCATTCAGTGACTGCATTAGTTGTCTCTTAAATGTCTCCAACTGCCAATAAAGCAACATCACTCATAATGCCAAATAAATGTAACAAGAATTTAAAATTGAATGAAAACATAAGACCACATCTTAATAGAGTCAAGCTAAGTTGGGTCATAATTTTTTTTTTCCTAATAGCCCAGTTAACTAATTCAAGTTTAAAGTAATGTCTTCATGAAGCCTTGAGAAATTAAACCCAGATCTTCTAAGAGCAAAACCACAGGACTACCACCAACCTTGGAAGGTTAAATTGGGACATAATTTTATTCAAAAAATTTGCATTCACTCACCTTTCCCAAATCACGGCTGAGATTCTTCACAGTCATTGCCAATGCATCTCGTTCCTTTGAAAGCTTTGTCTTTATTCAAAAACAAAATAGCAATAAATCAATCATCTTATCAAATATAATCAAGAAAACCACAATGCATTTCATCCAACTTACCTAAATTCTTTGCTTTCTCACACAGAAAGTTTGTATTTCCATTTTAAATACAAGACCCAAATTCTACTACCTTTCCCCAACTTTTTTCATCAACCAAACAACAAAACAGAAAAAAAAAATTCAGAGAAAAAAAAAAAAAGAAAAGAAAAGAAAAAGAACACGGCTAGATTCTTCACAGTCATTTCCAATGAATCTCGTTTCTTCAAACGCTAAGTCTTTATCAAAACCAGAATAGCAACAAATCAACCATTAACTTCGAAATTCAAACAAAGGAAAATCACAAGGCATTTCATCCAACCAAGCTAAAGTCCTCAATTACGCACGATCAAAAAACCTTCTAATTCCATTTCTTACTTAAAAGAGAAAAAAAAAACCCTAATTTTCCTCCATTTCCCCAACTTTATCATCACCCAATCAGAACAGAAAATAAAAATGAAAAATAAAAGTAAAACAAAATCCTTTAATCTCCATATAAAATTATTACAAAATAAAAAACAAAAATTAAAAAAAAAAAACTCTCACATTGTCAGCAAGTATAATCTTCATTTTGGACTCAGCCTCCTGCGACACTTTTTGCCCGTGCGAGAGCCTCTCTTCAAGCTCGTATATCAAACGATCCTTCTCGTACAACTTCTGCCTCATCCTCCCCATCTCCGCCTCTAACTTTGACACGCGCGACGCGATTGCCATCGACGTGATCTTACGCGCCAGATCCAGCTGGTCGTATGGATCCGTCGGTATCACCGCCAGTATCTCGTCCGACAGATGGAAGTCCGGCCCCCCGCCGCCTCCACTTCCTCCGCCGTTCTGCGCCATAACAATCCCTCTATCGAACTCTCTCAAACAAATCCAAATTTTTTCTTTAACCTAATATTATTTTGTTCTAATTGCGTGTGCTTATATTTTCAGAGAGTACCATGCGGAGGTTTAAAGAGATTTAGGTGAGAGCTTTAATTTATTTATTTATTAATTTGAATTTAAAGCTTGGGTTTCGTTTGGTATGCTTTTGCGGAAGTGCTTTGCGTCCTTTGTTTGTTTGTTTGTTTTGCTTTGATTTGTCTGGATTTGAAATTTAAAGAGATTTCCCTCCAAACAAGTCATATTTTACAAGTCAATTTAGGTTAAGACAATTATTTTATTTAATAATTTCATATTTATCTAAAATAAAAATAATAATAAAATAAATTTTAAAATAAAAAATAACATAAATAATTTGAACAAGAAAAAAAGGGCTGACCTAGTACACCACAAACACCAAATTAGACCATCACCAATCACAAACACCAATTCACACCATATTGGTATGATTTTTGGAGTATTTCACCATTGTATCTCCAACCTATTACATCAAATATTACACCGAAAAGAATATTTCTTAGAACATTCTCTTTCTTTTTCTTTCTATTAATAATCAACAATTAATCTATTTCACTAATTATTTTTGTATATATTAATTAATATTGAGAATGATATTTTTATGAAATAATAATTACTTTGAAATTATACTAATTTAATAAAATTAAGCATTTATTTAATCAAATAAACGTTACATTTAATATATAAAAACATTACATCTAATATAAAATGCCACAAAAAAAAAGACAACAACAACAACACAAAAGTAAAATTTCATATTAATAGTAATTTAACTTTTCGAATTAGTATATTCTTTCCATAAATAATCAATTAATGCATTTCGAAGAGCATGGTTAGCATCTATATCCTTAATTTGTCTATGTCGAGCAATAAAATTTTGAAATCGGACATTTTCATCTACGACAATTTTTACTTGGGGAGTTGGTGCTTCCATTTGATTCTCAATCGATGCATCAACATTATGATCATTTTTTTGGGTGTACTTGATTCATTATTCTGATACTTTTTAAAATAATATTTTGAAAAAAAAAAAAGTAAAATTAGGTGGTTATTACGATGTAGGATTTGAAAATTAACAAAATACCCCATAGGTTTGTTTATTTACTCAACACCCTATAATAAAATATTAAAAATTAAAAAAAACACCCTCACTCACCCATTATATACCGATAGTCGGAGGATGGTCGGAGTCATCGTATTGGCGCACGACCGGCTGGATTTAGTCTGTCTTGCGCCGATATAACTTTTTCTAGCTAGATCCACCGTGGATCTGGCTAGAAAAAGCCAGATCTACGACCAAAGATCTGGCCATTGACGGCCAGATCTGTCCGCAGTTGGTCATCATCGATGGCCAAAGATATGGTCATCGTTGATGGTCAACGACAGCCATATCTTGGCCATCGTTGATGACTGGCTATGACCAGATCTTTGGTCATAGATCTGGCTTTTTTCGGCTAAATCGGCACACTAACGGCCATATCCAACCGATAATATGCCATTATACCAGATTCCGGCTAACTTCCGACGGTGGTGGCCAGAATCTGGCAAATGTGGGTTGCTAGGGTGTTTTTGTCAATTTCTAATTTTTTTTTTTTTTTTTTTTTTTGTGTTTAGTTAAATTAACAAATCTAGGAGGTTTAAAAAGAGTTGAATAGTATAGAATAATATTTTAAGAATAAAGAAATAAATGTGTATTTCAGATTGAATAGGAAATAGAGTAGTGAAAAATTGTGTACCAAATGGGTATTTGATTTTTCATCATTTTTTTGAATTATATAATTGTTATGAATTTATTATTATAAATAATAATCAAATTAACATAAATACAAATAACGAAAATTAAATAATAAAAATGAGAAAATAAAATATATTTTATAGTATATGAACAATACCACACCAAATTAGTGTAAGTGAATAGTGTCACGTCAAATTTGGTGTAGTGTTTGGTGTTGGGTTGGAGTGCATTTTTCACACCATTTTGGTATTTTGGCGTTGAGTTGGAGATGCCCTTAATGCAACTTTCACACCAAATTGGTGTGGCTTTTGGTATATTTCACTATTGCATCTCCAACCTATTGTGCTAAATATTACATTAAAAAAATATTATTTTTCTTTTTCTTTTTATTAATAATCAACAATTAATTTATTTCATTAATTATTTATATATATATTAATTAAATATTGGGAATAATATTTTTATTAAATAATAATAACTTTGAAAATTATACTAATTTAATAAAATTAAGCATTTATTTAATCAAATAAATATTATATTTAATATAAAAAAAATTGCATCTAATATAAAATGCCATAAAAAAAAAAAAAAGACGACAACACAAAAGTAAAATTTCATATTGATAGTAATTTAATTTTTTAAATTAGTATATTCTTCTCACAAATAATCAATTAATGTATTTTAAAAAAGCAGAGCCTCTGTACCCTTGATTTATTTATGATGAGTTGTAGTTCTTTTAAATATTTTGATAATTTTAGAGGATTTGAAACTAATCTACTAGAATATTAAATTGTTATTTTAGTTTATGTTGTATTTTCTTTTAATTTTAACATTTTTAAATTAGTGTTAATTTTTATTTTGAGTTATTGTATTTTAATATTTGTATTGAATAAAATTTTTTTTTTAATTTTTTATTATTTTTTGAATTATATAATTATTATAAATATTAACATAAATAATAATTAAATTAGCATAAATATAAATTAAAAAATAAATAATAAAAATAAAAAAATAAAATATATTTTATAATAAATAAATAGTATCACATCATGTTGGCGTAGTGAATAGTATTACTCCACTAATTTGGTGTAGGTTTTTATGTTGAATTAGAGCAAATTTTTCACGACAATAGTGTTGGGTTGGAGATGTCCTTATCAATGCGGCCCAACACCACAACTAATAAGCCCACAAAATCATAACCCTCTAAAATCAGAAGAAAAATCCCGGAATTTTTCTTTTTCTCGACGAGTTTCTCAGCAACCAAACAGAAACTTAACACACAGAGAAACTAAGCGAAAGAGGAAGAGAACATACAATATGTCGGTGCTAATAGTAACGAGCTTAGGTGACCTTGTGCTGGATTTGTTCGTCGACAAGTGTCCTTTGACCACCAAGAACTTCTTGAAGCTCTGCAAGTACGTTACTAAAGTTAATACTTATTTATTTCTTTCTTATGAATGCAGTAAAGCAATCGAAATCTGATAATATGTTCATATGTGTAATTTTTGTAGGATTAAGTACTATAATGGCTCCCTATTCCATACGGTTCAGAAAGATTTTACGGCTCAGACTGGTGATCCGACCGGCACAGGAACAGGTGGCGATTCCGTCTACAAGTAAGAAAGCTAATACAATAGGTTTACTAGTGAAATTCATTGAAGTTTATGAGGTGTAGGTGCCGTTGATTGATAATTAAGTGAGTATTTATGGATGTATTTGTGTTATGGTTTCAGATTTTTGTATGGTGAACAGGCTCGATTTTTTGGCGATGAGATTCGTGTAGATTTGAAGCATAGTAAGACTGGCACTGTTGCCATGGCTAGTGCTGGAGAGAATCTTAATGCTTCTCAGGTTTAACATTTTTTTTTTAATGTTTTTGTGAGAGTTCTTTGTTATATGTAAAAATGAAAAAAACCGGTGGATAAAAAGTTATGACTGTAGTTGATTTGGAATTTTAGTGAAACATTATATGTGCTGTAAATTGATGACTGTTTTTTTTTGTGGTCACGAAATTGAATTTTTGTTTGCAGTTCTATATCACTTTGCGAGATGATCTAGACTATCTTGATGAGAAGCACACCGTGAGTCTCTCGATACTCAACTTCTTGTTTAGTATTTGTCTTACTATTCTTGATTTGTAAAACAAAGGAGTGAATGATTGCTTTGGATGTCATATGTGTTTACATTTCTATTTATTCTTGTCAAAATCATAAAACAAAATTTCTTTGTTTCGTAACTTTTTGGATATTTGAGATGTTTTATTGTCTCTCTTTCCCTTTTGTTTTTGGGTTAGGTATTTGTGACTTCTCGATATAATTGTGACCTTGAAAATTGATATGAACCTGAATGATTCACCCTCAACCAACTCAACTCACACAGATAGCAAGATTAAACACTGAATATTGCACTGATATTTGTATTAATAATCTGCAGTACTTGATGTTCCAGTACTGAGAACTTTAATGGAAAATGAAGAAGACAAATGAAGTAAATGAAAAGAAAAAGATAACTCTAGCACTTCGAGGAGCTAGGAACCTCCCAATACAACTTTTGTGAATAATCCCATCCCCTGTACATCTTTTTTAATCTTCTTATACCCAATTATCTTAACAAACTTATTCTACTAGTCTGTAGGCCTAACAAACTAATTGCTAATCTGGTGCCACGTATATACATTCCTTTTTAAGCAACTCCCAGCAACTCCCATGTGGCCTTCTAATCCACTTTATTCTTCCTCACGTACACCTTGCTGCTAGGCTGTGTAATTCCCTTGATGCCCTCCTCTGAACCTCCTGGAATGTTTAGTTTCCTATCAGAAATGTTTATGTTTCTTGGATTGGAGTATAGGCAATATTTCCTGAACAATATAATGCTTCATAGTACTTTTTATGGCATTTGAAAAAAGTTTAAAAAAAATCCTCTCTGGTTCCTTAGGGTAGTCACCTGATTCTTAAGACTTTGGAGCAGAAACGGATATATTTACTTGAGAAGTGCTTTTAGTGTTCTGGAACTTTTAATGTAGAAGAAGTTTGACTTCGTTGATTAAACCCTCTTGTTGGTGTATTTTCTCTCATCATAATTTTTGTTATTGCAGGTTTTTGGGGAGATAGCCGAAGGGCTTGACACTTTGACTAGGATAAATGAAGCTTATGTGGATGAGAAGAACAGACCATATAAAAATATCCGGTTTGTTCTATTCCACTGTAAATATTTCGAAGTGGTTATTAAAATTAATCTCTATTTTTAATCATGTTAATTCATCTTAATAATCCTACTTATTATACTTGAACAGAATTAAACACACTTATATATTAGAGGATCCTTTTGAAGATCCTCCCCAGCTAGCTGAGTTGATTCCCGATGCTTCCCCTGAAGGCAAACCAAAAGATGAGGTACTGACTGATTCCAGTTGAGTTTTTTACGAGAAGGTCTGAATTAAATGAAGAAATTAATATTAGTAATTTACATATCACTTGAAAGCACAGTTTTCGCCAGGTAAATGATGACTGAATTGGATGATAATGCCCATGAAGAGAAATTGTTAATCTGATCATCAGAAACAGACTAGAAAAACACCATAGGACAACATATAGCTGTTTCAAGATTATCATGAAGAGTTCTACAAATAGGGGGCTGTAATTATTATGTTTTCCACCTATATAGAGTTGCTGCAGTTTTTACAATAATTTTGGCATTTAGACTATCCAGTTTTAGTTCTAGAATGTATATTAAAGTGGTTAGGAATAATGGGATGATTGACCTTTAATGTAATTGCAAATTTTTTGCATATAGAGGGATCATGATCTGTTAACTAATTTCACAATTCAAGTGACTAATTCCACAATTCAAGTGTTTAGAACTGCCCAAAGCTACTTGCACTGGAAATTGATGATGTTGAGTTTGATACTTCAGTTGGTGTTCATGAGTGATATATGGGCTTAATGGCATGTAATGTATGATAATTGGATGATACATTGAATAATGATGTTAGAAAGCATACGATGACAAACTAATGTGTAGCATTTATGAAGTGTATAGTTACTTTAGGTCACTCCAGGCCTATAGCATCAATCTGTCAAATTATTGACAATGCTGATTACTGCCAATATGAGATTTTTTTTATACTGTTATTCAGCATAGAATAATGGGTCGACCTGGTCAAGTTTTGGGCCAGAATTATAGTTCAGTTGGGTTATTGATCATAATATTGCCTTTTTGGCAAGCATGTTTCCTTCATAGCCTGGGCTAATTTTCAACGTTGTGACTAGATTGATGATGAAGTACGTTTGGAGGATGATTGGGTGCCCCTAGATGAGCAACTAGACCCTATGCAGCTCGAGGAAGTTCTTCGCCAGAAGGATGCACATTCCAGTGCAGTCGTACTTGAGAGTGTAAGAAGTCTATGCATACATAATGATTCAATTATTTTTGTCCATACTGTGAACTTCCATCCTCATAGAATGATATGTGCTTATTCTTTTTTATATGCATTACAGATTGGAGATATTCCTGATGCTGACATAAAGCCTCCTGAGAACGTGCTATTTGTGTGTAAACTCAACCCTGTCACTGAAGTGAGTGCTTGTCGTTGTATTGTAGCAATGTTATTTTGTGAATTGTGAAAACGTTGCTATCTTTTCATTTTAACTTTGTATATTTGGGAAGAAAGGTGGAAGGAAAAATGGAATAGGAATTTTCCTTTTAGGCCTTCCATTTTGCCAAAAATGTATAGAAAATTGAAATGAAGAAAAATCTGGCGTGTGGGGATGGGATTTAATGTTGTGTTTTTTCTTTATGTTCAGCTATTACACATTGCTTCTAAACCTTTCTTTTCTTCTGACTGAAGAAAGAGGGTATACCACATTCCTTCACCACTTTTCCTTTCCCTTCAACCAAATGGAATGAGAATTGAGGGAAAAAAAAAAGTGTTTCTGCATGTTGCTTCCGATCTTGTTAATGGATTTTGGAACAGGAGAAGTGTTTTCTTTTTGTTTTGTTCCAAGAACCCTAGGGTTTAGGGACAGCTTGTCCTTTTGTATGAACATTTTGTCCACTCTTGTATACTTTTTATAGAGAATATTTGTTTCTTAGCAAAAAAAGAAAAAAAGGTTTGTCATCTTAGGGTAATGTTTAATCATTCTTTCCTTGATGCAGGATGAGGACCTGCATACAATCTTTTCACGTTTTGGAAATGTTACGTCGTAAGTGATAAATTTTATTCCATCTAATATTTGGTAATTCTTTGATGTGGGTGGTTCTGTTGATTCAAATGTATTTCTTTACTGCAAATGATGACAGGGCTGAAATAATCCGTGATTATAAGACTGGAGACAGTTTATGCTATGCTTTCATTGGTGAGTTATTTATTGTTCTTGTAGTTTATTATTTTGCTATTTTGAGTTGAAAACTTGACGTACATGTAATCTGAAATTTGCAGTGTATAAAAAGGTGAAGTTTCATCACCTTCTTATTTCTGGTTGCCCTCTGATGTTATCTCCATCCTTCTATTTTCAATTTTCTGAAAATAAATTGACTACTTTAATCCTCATTTTGGATTTAAATTTCCATTATTTCTCGAAGCTAATAGTTTAATAGAATATGGTTTTGAACTTAGTATGAATTAGTTATGGAAAATGTTCTATAAAATATTTAGGTCTTTGTTTTTTCTTTTTCTTATTGGTTCTAGTCAAAATCTGGGAGGAAAAAGGAAAAGATTGCTTTAGATTGTCAGCTAGGATGAAATTTTGAACATGGATCCTGAAGAGGCATGTAGATGGAACGAGATGAAAAAGGGAATGTTCACCTTGGCTGATTCAAATAGTTGTTTTTTGGGCTTTTGCTCCATGGATTTATCCTGAGTTATTGAATATTTGAATTGTGAACATATTATCAGTAGATATGAGGATCAAATCCAATTCCTACGTGCCTTTGCAAGATTTTGTCGTTAATGACTGAGAATTTGGATAAGTCCTAAAGCAGGGGTGTACTATTGTAATTTTTGGCGAGTGTGAATCCGTAGGTGTCAAGTTATCTGATTGTATATCCATATGGATGTACGAGGATGCATGACAACAATGTGCTAGATAGATGCTGTCACACTGTCCCTTAAATCACTGACTGCAAAAGCTGGTCATTGGCTAACTCCCTGTCCTCTATATCTATATTTCACGCTCCGCCTTTTACTTTATTTATGGTAAAATGATGTGCATCCAGTCATTAGTTTGCTTGATGACTTCAAACCGACCATAATCAATTATTTGCTTTCCTGCCAGAGTTTGAGGAACAAGAGGCATGTGAACAAGCATACACTAAGGTATTTAAAGGTTGGAAGTGTGTTTTCTTTTCTGAAATTTTGCATTATTGGTTTTCTAGATACCGTATCGGCCTTTTACTAAGAAACAACCTCGGATATTTTCTGATGTATTTTTCTTAGTGAGAATCTGATGAGACTCCCTGCACTGCTAACAAACAATAGCCAAACAGTACAAGATAACAGAATATGTTCACCTCAAACAAGCCTCAACCAAGTATATTAATGGAGAAAAACAAAGAACAACCAAAACAACTGATAAACTCAACAGATAGATCCCAGCAATTCGAGGAGCTGGGGACCTCCAACAATGACACTATTTTCATCTCCCCTTTTCACCAACACTGACCCCTTTATTTATACTAACTTCTAGACTACCAAATCTCTATGCTAACAACTGGATTCCCCACTCACGCAAATAACAACTTGATTTCCCATCACGTGAATATTTCCCAACCAACTCCCACTAGCACACATGCCCACTCACACAACCAGTACCCTACTACCCTTATGCCCTTTATATTGATAGATTTTACTAATGGGGGTCTTATCATTCGACAGCCCTAGAACATATCCCTTTCTCAATCAACAGCGACACTCTATCAACCGCTCTTTGGAGCACCGACCATGGGAGGAGAGACAGTCGAGCCCGGTGCCGACTTCCGGTCACCAGAGTACAAGCTGGACAGCTCTTCGAAAGATCGATTCCAACCTCTCTCAACTGCGAACAACCCCTTCCCAGCGAATGACAGAAGATGAGGAAGAATTGAGTAAGGAAGCAGAGGGCAGTAAAGGAGTGGAGGAGCGGTGTGGTGTGGTGTGGTGTCGGGTGAAAATTTTCCATCTCCCCACCTTGAGGACAAGGTGGTTCTTCAAGGGGAGGGTAATGATAAGACCCCCATTAGTAAAATCTATCAATATAAAGGGCATAAGGGCAGTAGGGTACTGGTTGTGTGAGTGAGCATGTGTGCTAGTGGGAGTTGGTTGGGAAATATTCACGTGATGGGAAATCAAGTTGTTATTTGTGTGAGTGGGGAATCCAGTTGTTAGCATAGAGATTTGGTAGTCTGGAAGTTAGTATAAATAAAGGGGTCGGTGTTGGTGAAAAGAGGAGATGAAAATAGTGTCATTGTGGGAGGTCCCCAGCTCCTCGAATTGCTGGGATCCATCCGTTGAGTTTATCAGTTGTTTTGGTTGTTCTTTGTTTTTCTCCATTAATATACTTGGTTGAGGCTTGTTTGAGGTGAACATATTCTGTTATCTTGTACTATTTGTTAGCAGTGCAGGGAGTCTCATCAGAATCCTCTGCCTGCGTGGAAGAAATTGTTTCAAGATATTGCATCCTTTTGGTAATAGATTCTCATGTTTCCATAATCATCAAGAGCCATGGATGATTTTTTTCTTCACCTGGGCTTTGCATGAGTGGGCACTTAAAAGGAATTGCAGACTTCTCCCAACTTTCACGATACAGTATAGTAATGTATTTTCAGTTGAAACTCATGAGCAGAACTCAAGTGGTCCTTTCTGTGTTAGATTTTCTGGACAATTTGTTGCAAGTGTAGATATTAACCTTGTGTTTCTGTCAATCAAATTCATTAGTTACTATTGCTTTAGTGCTTTTGCTACTTGCGAATCCTGTCTTTTGTTTGTAGATGGATAATGTTTTGATTGATGACAGAATTGCTTTGGTGCTTTTGGTACTTTGCTAATCCTGTCTTTTGGTCGTAGATGGATAATGCTTTGATTGACGACCGAAGGATACATGTGGATTTTAGTCAAAGTGTCTCAAAACTTTGGAACCAGTACAGGCGCAGAAATAACCAACCTGGTAAAGGTAAGTCGACTGTTAGGAGAGTTCTTATAAAACCTTTGGAGTCTATTTATTTATAAATTGTTTATTTTTTTTTTGGCGCAGAGAGAGGCTGCTTCAAATGTGGTGCTCTTGATCACATTGCAAAGGATTGCACAGGGCAGCAAGCTCCCAAATATATCTTAAAGGAAGATAACAGACAGCATGGTGGATACAGTGACTCTAGGTTTGTAAAATCAATCGCTCGTGGTCATAAGATTGTACAACACATTCTCTCCTCTTCTCTTTCTGACAGTGCAATCACTGTTGCAGGTATGAAATGGTATTTGACGGGGACACTCCGGAAAATCCCAGACGGGAAAAGCGACATCGAGGCCATGATCCAGATGACCGAATGGAGAAACCCAAAATGAATAGGCAGAGTTATGACAGGAAAGATAGGGATCAAGAAAAGAAAGAATCAAGAGATAGGCACAGGGAAAGTGACAGAACCAGGGATCACAGAGAAGACCGCAATGATCGAGATGGTGGATGCAGAGGAGACCAGGAGCATTTTGACGAACGAAGGTCAAAGGAAATGCATATGGAGAGACGAGGAGAGAGAAATGATCAGAGAAGAGATGATCGGGATTACAGAAAAAGTTCAGAGACTGATCGCTACAGAGACAAAAGGGATGATAGCCGTGCAGAAAGGAGGGATATCGGAGACTATAGAAAGAGAAATGCTGAAATTGATGGTCGTGGAGGTAGGAGAGAGGATGTAGATTATAGAAAGAGAAGCGGTGATGGTGAAATCCGCGAGGACAGGAGGGAGAGACAAGACACGTGGAAGGAACAAACTTATAGAAAGGATGATGAAGATGAAGATAGTTATAGAAGACGAGAAAATAGACATGCAGGTGCAGAAAGTAACGATGATCATGATCGTCATAGAAGACATGGAAGTAAGGATGATCACAGAAGGGACCGAGGTGACAGAAGAAGGTGAAGTTTTCCACATGCACGGATTCTCAAAGTTTTGTATTTCTTTTTACAGAAAAAAATGAAAATCAAACCTCCAGATGGTTAACTGTATGTTTTTGTTAAGCTTTTTTCATATCTATCGAAGTCTTGTTAGGGCTTATCTGATTTTTTCCCAGTTTTCGGTGTTGATATGTTTATACAACTGACGATTCTTTTCCTTTAATTCTAGATTTTGGTTGTTTAAAAATAATTTCATCCACAAACCAAACGTGCATACTGAAAGAGGGGGAAAAAAAAGAAGGGAACTTACAAATTACTCTGAATATATATTGAAAATTCAAGCCAATACTGCAAGTTCTTGTTCTTGCCTACATCCATTCGGATTCATAATAATATTATCTCGATCATATAATTATACACAGAGGCTAATATTCCAAATACTTGAAACAGGAGATGAGGGGTAATCCACCTTGCAATGTGACTTCTGAAATCCGATAAATTTTCTTTCTGATTCATTTTCCCAGAAAATGAGGGTTGGTCCAATGTTTCCAGTCAGCCATACCCATTGAGATCAAGAGCCCGTGTGGAGAAGTAACTCCCAACAAGATGAAGTCCAGCCAGCAGTGAAGCACCAGACGGCTTCAGACAAGATTTTCTGGCACGTGCCTTTTCTGATCTCTCTCCATATAACCAAGCCGGCCCATCCGGTTCCGATCTTCAACATAATCTTGATGATTATAATGATTGGACCCAGAACCATAACTGTGCCGCAACTTTCCCTCTGATGATCTATCAGGAGAGCTTCCAACCTTCCGCTTGCGGCTGCTTGACTTGGGTGAATGAGAACCCCGGCTAAGGTTGCGAGGCACTGAGACCTCCCCATCTTCAGCATAACCGAAATCTAATCTGCGTGATGACTGTCCTCTCATTTGTCCGTGGCTGTCTCCAGCATCCTCTTGATGTTTATCGAAATGTGAGTTCTCATATTCCTGTCTGTCTGAGGATCTAGACCAGCTCTGCCTCCGGTCGCGCTTGTTTTTCTCATTCTCTGCAGCTAATTCAACTCCATTTTCCAGTTCTCGCTCAATCAGATCATCCTCATCCATCAAATCAGTTTTCCGAGTCGTGCCTACACGGGAGTTCCTTCGTTTCTCTAGGGCTGCCTTTACCTTGTCTTTGTCAATCTTCTTGATAGCTTCCTGGGGTGACTGGCTAACTAAACCTCCTCTATGTTCCAATTTTCGGCTAGAATGCTTGTCCTTTATGTCCGCAACATCTCTTGTTTCATTCCTCACAACAGTCCTCTCTTGATCTTCTTTACCAAGAGCATCTGACCCAAACCTCAATGTGCTTTGTGCTTCTCCCTTGTTCTGGTAAGAAAATTTCTCGGGTTCAGGGTGTAGATCATCTTTAAATTCACCGTATGCACTGTCATCAATAGTATTTTCCATCTCTGCATGTCCCCAGTCATTACTCTGATTTTGGGTGATTCTGGAAGATCCACAATGATTATCAGCTAATGAATGTTCAGACACTGGCTTAGTTGATGCAGGCTTTAAGGTTCTTGAAGTTGTACAACTAGCCTGAGAATAACTAATAGTTGTTGGATATTCTTCACTGCTAGATAAAGTTCTTGATGATGCCCGCTGAGTACTCCCCGCTGCAGCACTTACTTCAACTTCACCACACTGGGAAGTTGGCAATCGGTTTTGTTCATAGAGTTCCAACATTTGGTTGCTAACCTCTGCCAGAGATAAGTGCCCAGCATTAAAACCATAATCCAACAGATACACAGAGAGAAGTCAAATATTTTAGTGAAGAAAATAATAACACCAGTAAAATAAATGACATGATTGGAACTTCCAATTGTAAATTTTTGTTCATAAGTTTGTATCCCAATTCCACCCCTCATAAACAACAACCACCCCCCCAACAAAGGAACAGTGGTAGTTCCCAAAAAAAACAAAAAAGGAAAAAAAAAAAAAAAAAATTCCAGAAATTGTTTCAAGATATTGCATCCTTTCGGTAATAGATTCTCATGTTTCCATAATCATCAAGAACCATGGATGATTTTTTTCTTCACCTGGGCTTTTGCATGAGTGGGCACTTAAAAGGAATTGTAGACTTCTCCCAACTTTCACGATACAATATAGTAATGTATTTTCATTTCAGTTGAAACTCATGAACAGAACTCAATTGGTCCTTTCTGTGTTAGATTTTCTGGACAATTTGTTGCAAGTGTAGATATCAACCTTGTGTTTCTGTCAATCAAATTCATTAGTTACTATTGCTTTAGTGCTTTTGCTACTTGCTAATCCTGTCTTTTGTTTGTAGATGGATAATGTTTTGATTGATGACAGAATTGCTTTGGTGCTTTTGGTACTTTGCTAATCCTGTCTTTTGGTCGTAGATGGATAATGCTTTGATTGACGACCGAAGGATACATGTGGATTTTAGTCAAAGTGTCTCAAAACTTTGGAACCAGTACAGGCGCAGAAATAACCAACCTGGTAAAGGTAAGTCGACTGTTAGGAGAGTTCTTATAAAACCTTTGGAGTCTATTTATTTATAAATTGTTTATTTTTTTTTTGGCGCAGAGAGAGGCTGCTTCAAATGTGGTGCTCTTGATCACATTGCAAAGGATTGCACAGGGCAGCAAGCTCCCAAATATATCTTAAAGGAAGATAACAGACAGCATGGTGGATACAGTGACTCTAGGTTTGTAAAATCAATCGCTCGTGGTCATAAGATTGTACAACACATTCTCTCCTCTTCTCTTTCTGACAGTGCAATCACTGTTGCAGGTATGAAATGGTATTTGACGGGGACACTCCGGAAAATCCCAGACGGGAAAAGCGACATCGAGGCCATGATCCAGATGACCGCATGGAGAAACCCAAAATGAATAGGCAGAGTTATGACAGGAAAGATAGGGATCAAGAAAAGAAAGAATCAAGAGATAGGCACAGGGAAAGTGACAGAACCAGGGATCACAGAGAAGACCGCAATGATCAAGATGGTGGATGCAGAAGAGACCAGGAGCATTTTGACGAACGAAGGTCAAAGGAAATGCATATGGAGAGACGAGGAGAGAGAAATGATCAGAGAAGAGATGATCGGGATTACAGAAAGAGTTCAGATACTGATCGCTACAGAGACAAAAGGGATGATAGCCGTGCAGAAAGGAGAGATATCGGAGACTATAGAAAGAGAAATGCTGAAATTGATGGTCGTGGAGGTAGGAGAGAGGATGTAGATTATAGAAAGAGAAGCGGTGATGGTGAAATCGGCGAGGACAGGAGGGAGAGACGAGACACGTGGAAGGAACAAACTTATAGAAAGGATGATGAAGATGAAGATAGTTATAGAAGACGAGAAAATAGACGTGCAGGTGCAGAAAGTAACGATGATCATGATCGTCATAGAAGACATGGAAGTAAGGATGATCACAGAAGGGACCGAGGTGACAGAAGAAGATGAAGTTTTCCACATGCACGGATTCTCATAGTTTTGTATTTCTTTTTACAGAAAAAAATGAAAATCAAACCTCCAGATGGTTAACTGTATGTTTTTGTTAAGCTTTTTTCATATCTATCGAAGTCTTGTTAGGGCTTATCTGATTTTTTCCCAGTTTTCGGTGTTGATATGTTTATACAACTGACGATTCTTTTCCTTTAATTCTAGATTTTGGTTGTTTAAAAATAATTTCATCCACAAACCAAACGTGCATACTGAAAGAGGGGGAAAAAAAAGAAGGGAACTTACAAATTACTCTGAATATATATTGAAAATTCAAGCCAATACTGCAAGTTCTTGTTCTTGCCTACATCCATTCGGATTCATAATAATATTATCTCGATCATATAATTATACACAGAGGCTAATATTCCAAATACTTGAAACAGGAGATGAGGGGTAATCCACCTGGCAATGTGACTTCTGAAATCCGATAAATTTTCCTTCTGATTCATTTTCCCAGAAAATGAGGGTTGGTCCAATGTTTTCAGTAAGCCATACCCATTGAGATCAAGAGCCCGTGTGGAGAAGTAACTCCCAACAAGATGACGTCCAGCCAGCAGTGTAGCACCAGACGGCTTCAGACAAGATTTTCTGGCACGTGCCTTTTCTGATCTCTCTCCATATAACCAAGCCGGCCCATCCGGTTCCGATCTTCAACATAATCTTGATGATTATAATGATTGGACCCAGAACCATAACTGTGACGCAACTTTCCCTCTGATGATCTATCAGGAGAGCTTCCAACCTTCCGCTTGCGGCTGCTTGACTTGGGTGAATGAGAACCCCGGCTAAGGTTGCGAGGCACTGAGACCTCCCCATCTTCAGCATAACCGAAATCTAATCTGCGTGATGACTGTCCTCTCATTTGTCCGTGGCTGTCTCCAGCATCCTCTTGATGTTTATCGAAATGTGAGTTCTCATATTCCTGTCTGTCTGAGGATCTAGACCAGCTCTGCCTCCGGTCGCGCTTGTTTTTCTCATTCTCTGCAGCTAATTCAACTCCATTTTCCAGTTCTCGCTCAATCAGATCATCCTCATCCATCAAATCAGTTTTCCGAGTCGTGACTACACGGGAGTTCCTTCGTTTCTCTAGGGCTGCCTTTACCTTGTCTTTGTCAATCTTCTTGATAGCTTCCTGGGGTGACTGGCTAACTAAACCTCCTCTATGTTCCAATTTTCGGCTAGAATGCTTGTCCTTTATGTCCGCAACATCTCTTGTTTCATTCCTCACAACAGTCCTCTCTTGATCTTCTTTACCAAGAGCATCTGACCCAAACCTCAATGTGCTTTGTGCTTCTCCCTTGTTCTGGTAAGAAAATTTCTCGGGTTCAGGGTGTAGATCATCTTTAAATTCACCGTATGCACTGTCATCAATAGTATTTTCCATCTCTGCATGTCCCCAGTCATTACTCTGATTTTGGGTGATTCTGGAAGATCCACAATGATTATCAGCTAATGAATGTTCAGACACTGGCTTAGTTGATGCAGGCTTTAAGGTTCTTGAAGTTGTACAACTAGCCTGAGAATAACTAATAGTTGTTGGATATTCTTCACTGCTAGATAAAGTTCTTGATGATGCCCGCTGAGTACTCCCCGCTGCAGCACTTACTTCAACTTCACCACACTGGGAAGTTGGCAATCGGTTTTGTTCATAGAGTTCCAACATTTGGTTGCTAACCTCTGCCAGAGATAAGTGCCCAGCATTAAAACCATAATCCAACAGATACACAGAGAGAAGTCAAATATTTTAGTGAAGAAAATAATAACACCAGTAAAATAAATGACATGATTGGAACTTCCAATTGTAAATTTTTGTTCATAAGTTTGTATCCCAATTCCACCCCTCATAAACAACAACCACCCCCCCAACAAAGGAACAGTGGTAGTTCCCAAAAAAAACAAAAAAGGAAAAAAAAAAAAAAAAAAATGAAGAAGAAAAAGGATGAACCCATGGTCTACCTATAATCTTCCATTTCAATAATTTTTAAAAGTATATTATAAATAATGGGAATATGCCAAAAACAGAATAAAGGAAAAGGAGACACTATCTCCCATTATCAGAAGATGACACTGACAACTGAAAGAGAAGAAAAAACACCAACCTTCCAATTGGCGAGGGGTGACTTCAAACTCTTGCCACCACACCCTCTCACCATCTGATGGAAGCTTTACTTTGAGGAACTTTGCAGCAAGAAAAATAGCCCCCGCAGCAACATGGTGGGGCTTAAACTGTAAGCACAGAGAGGTACGCAGTCTGCATGTCGCATCTCCCAATCAAGAAGAGCATGGGAAAAGAACATGAATGTACAGTTTGTAGAATAGAAACAATTAATCATACCCATCATTGACAAAGTTCCATGCAACTTGAGCAAGGGCATTCTGAGCAACCTTGAATTTCTTTATTGCCTCAACAAGGGGTTTGTATGGATGGAGTACATTTAGATCAAATCCAAGGGTTGACAGTACAACCCTTTCCCCAAGTAAAATTAATTCTTTCTGTTGTTCGTATATCTCCTGCATGATGGATGCAAACAAATCAATAAACTAAACCATTAAACTACAATTGTCATGAACGTATTTGCATCAATTATTTTTTAAACATGGAATGGAACAGAAAAAAAAGGAATAAGACATCCTTGTAGTTGGAGCATCAGTATAATACTTACGATAAAGCATAAGAAATATGCAGAAGGCTAACATGAAGAAATAATCAAAGAAAGTTGTTTACAATCTATGGAAATTAGCAGTCATCACTTACAAAACAGTTATTATCCCCTTTCCTTTCATGAGCACAATGACACAACATATTGGCAAATTTGAAATTAATGGGAATGTCAATGATAACTCAACACTTCCTTGTTATTAAACACATAATAATAACAATAGCAATACATCCTAATGCTCAAATTAAATTAGTATCATCTATCAATTAATTCTTTGATTAAGAAAAAAAACCAAAAAATATTATACAAATTAAATAGTTAAAGTATTTCCCTGTCATGGATTACAAAACCATAAATAAAATTTTTAGAACTTAAAATGCAAGAAATTTCTTGATCAATGTTCGCCATAAAGTAAAGTCAAAATTGCACACTTGTGATCTTTGCTCTTCCACGGATGATCTAGATGGCCCTGAACTACGACTGTGCAATTTGCACTTCAAGATAAGGACATAAAAAGATGAACTTAACAGAAATATATCATTAACAATTAACAAGTTTATAAAAGGTAAAACAAGAAGCAAAAATACACAGAATAGAAAAATACCAAGTCAAAAAGTGACATAGAGATAACCGTACCTTTTGCTTGATCCTATGAATTGCATCAGGATCCTTATCCTTTTTATGAATAATTTCATATGAAACAAGAATAACATCTTTCAGTGGACGTGGAGTCTCCTCAACCTTCCCTGCCAGAAACATACACACTGTGGCTATGGTCTGCAAAATATTTTGAACAAGATCAGGCACTTCAAATAATTATTGCCTAAATTCGAAACACAATTCAAATAATTCTATGATATTCCCTATTGATTAATTCGTTTTCATCAAAGATGTCAAAGACAGCAGATGATTTAGACACCCATGAAGCCCATGTATCATTATGGAACTACAACACCTCTCTCCATCACACATAGAAAGAGTCATGCACATACAGTCACAGACAATATACTATCTCTCCCCTTACATATATCCAGAGTGTGAGAGAGAAAAAGAAGGATCCTTTTCTCTCTCCCTTTGGAAGACGAGAATTGTAGGAATAATGATATTATCCTCAAATTATTGAAAATAAAGTACATATCACCCCAGATCCTACATGGAATTTCATGTGGTATTCACGCAAGGGAAAAATCAGTGCAGTCAACTGTTGATTAATTACAAGTATACTGGTCTGGGAACTCTTTGGAAAAATACAATTTCCAATTCACTAATATCAAAAAATATAAAGTAACTCAATGTCCAAAGCATGATGGTGTAAACAATCATGGTGCAAAACATCTCATAGTTTCTTATTGGTACAATGAAGGAAGTTTACAAATATGCATGGTTGTTTTTTCCTTTTTGACAAGAACAATAGTTTAGTAGAAATCCATATTCAGTATAAGTCCTTATATGCAATGAATACAAAGATACATTTCCATGGGAGAATACAAAGGGATTCAACATTTAGTAAAACATAAAGCATAGCTCACCCTTCTGTCATTCCTTGCATGTGATTGACGAAGGAAGAACCGATGGCAGAATATTATTGCTGTAGCAATTGTTATCTGAGGTCTGCATTTTGAGACACAAGACACATTTGAAGCATAACAATACATAAAAGTAAATTTAAGTTCACTAGCCTAGGAAAGAAACAGAAGTCCAATATGCAGTACGAGGACAATATCCTGCTCATCCTCAACACAAAATAACTACTGAACAACAATGTCATTTTGCCTTGACGCAGATCCCTTTGACAAACTACAAGTAATTTCCCTTTTCTTTTTTCTCTCAATAAACAGATAATCTTAAGTTGAATGTACAGTGCTATAGGAAAACAAAATAATGTGCATATGAGCCTGAGAAAAGATTTAAGGTGTAAGCCTTCTTTAATATTTCAAACCACATCCCATCAGTTTATCTCTCTTTGTATCACATCAAGGATGTAATGATCATTTTATCAGGTAAGAGGCAGAAGAATTTAAACACATCCAACCGAAATGCATAGACTCACACTTTAAGTCTCATGCCCAAGTCTTGCAGAAATGTGCAGTATGACTTGCGAAGATAAGTCTCCTTTTTCCAATCAATTCCATCTCGTCTAGATGGAGAATTCCCTTCAATTTCTTTCCTAGAGAAGTACCAACGGCCACCTTCTTCTGGTTTGTCCTGAGAAAGTTTGGATGACTCACCTTCATAAAATCCACGGTGTGAGGGATCACCGGACAACAAACTAGCCATCTGTATCAGTTCCACCAAACAATGTCGTAAAGAACCGTGTTACCTTCCTGTCAATACTGTACCAAGACACATCAGAAACAGAACACTGCACATTTACCCAACTTTTAGAAAATAATAACAACAATAACAGCTTAAAAGCATCAAAATTAAATTAAACTTATATCAAGCATCACCAGAACTTCTCTATCATCTCATCCGCTCAATTTCCGACTAAAAAATACAAGTTCGAGACAATGCCTATGTATGGTTAGGCTTAAACGATAACGTACTTAAGAAACTTTACTTCACACTTACTACATAAATTCAACCAAATTAAGCTTAATTCAACAAAAATCCCACCAAATTCTTATTCTATAAATTTTCCGGGACAGTTAATTCACTTTTCTTAAGAACCAAACAGACAAAAAAAAAAACACCGACTTCATTCCACAAATTCTCTGAAACAAACCAAAGGAAAAATCCAAATAAATCTACGAAAAGTCTACTCAACCAGAACAAACATAATCCGAAGCTTAAATTAAAAAAAAAAAAAAAAATTAAAATAAATACGAAACTGTACCTGGACAGTCTGCAGCAAAGAGCGATACAGAAATTACAAAAAAAAAAAAAAATAGGTTATCGCAATTGAACCTGTGAAAGTGTTGAGCGATAAACTGAAATTTAACAAATTTATAAATAAAGTGAGCGAGTGAGCGAGCGAGAGAGTGAAGAAGAAAATGATTTTATTTATTTATTTATTTATTTTTGTATTTTTAGCAATAGGGTTTATACTTCATAGTAGTACATAAGAAACTTCACCGTTTTAAGTCAAGTCAATGCTTTATATATATATATATATATATATATAAAGCATTGACGATATATATATATATATATATATATATATTATGGTTTTATTCTTTTGTCGCTTTGTTTTTTTTTTATAAGTACAAATAATAAATACTCCACAGTTTAATTTTATTACAAAATTAAAGATTAGGAATTCTCATGTGTAAATGTATGTATTTTATTTAAAATTGGACTATAATTAATAAAATTTAAACTAAATTAATAGTAATATTTTTTTTTTTTTGTCATCAAAAATGTCTGAACCAACTTACGCACACCTCGAGTCCTTGACTAATTCCTAGGAGTCTTAAAATTAACGATCGGATAAACCCTTCGTTATCCATCCTTATTAGAAACCGAAATGAATCAAAATTAAAAATCTCTTGAATAATACATCAAAAAATTCATATCACTCCAACTACCACCTAAGGATGGTTTAATAGTAATAAATTTATGTTAATGTTTGATTATTAAATATCAACGTAGTGGGAATTCTTTGAATCCAGTTGAAATAATACTACACCAATAATCTTTTCTCACAAACTTTCTCTCACAACCCTAGTGTGACAGTCTGCAATTTGTCAGCTTCCAATTAATTAGTAAAATTCATATGAGATCCGTTGTTAACTGACCAATTATGAATTATTACGTCAAGATTGTAAAAAAAAGTAGTTAGTATAATATTATTCATCCAACTGTCAAATTAGGCCTTCTGCACATTCTATTCAATTATATCTCGATTTATTGATAAAAAATGAGTTTGCTTTAAATATTTTAAAATAATTGTTACATATTATATTAAATATATATTTATATATTTCATGTTTTTAAATTAAAAAAAAAAACATTAAAAATAAAACCCTTTATTTGAGAAACTTGGACGAGTGAAGTACAATCTATTATAAACTTATAGCCCTCAAATGGAGTTCAAAAAGGGCTGCTGGTGTAGTAACATTATTGGACATTTTAAGGAATAAAGCCACTTTAAGCTTCGGCCTTACCCTGAGGTGCCTTTTTGATAAGGGGCAAAAGCTCAAATGCATAGCAGTATAAACAAAAAAGGTTAAAAGAAAGGGCCAAATTTTGAGAGAGAAGACAACAAAGAATTAAATTAGCATCTGAATTTGTTCTAAGAGTACTTCAATCCACTGGATTCGGGCAGAATCTGGATCAATGCTATACTACACTTACTACTAAAAAGCACTTTGATAAAAATTGAAGCAAAATCAGAAAAAAACACAATTAAAAGTCTTTGTATTATGAGGTGCCGCCAACGAATTAATAAATACAATAATACAAGTTTATCATTCAACTGCTAAGAAGTTGCAGGGCATTAAGACTGCGGTTTCGAATCTTTGCCAAAATTCTCAGGGTTCTAAGGACTAACTAGGAGTTTCAATTTTCAGTATCATCCACGCATGCAGGGATGTAATTACATTAAAAATGGTAATTAGTAACGCCTGAAGCAGTGGCGAATCAATGAAGGAATTTCGGTGTTAGTAGGCAGTCCCATTGCTTGATACTTTTAGGCAGCAAGCAGGAAGTAACAGAACTGCAGAGTAAAAGGAAATGGAAAAGGGAAACTTACTAACTTGCTTGAGTTACAGGGACTAGCACAGTATCCTCTCCTTGACAGAGTTCCCGTAACAATCTGAACAACCATGGACGGGCTCTCATACATGTCAAAGAAGGTTACTTGCTCCCAGCTTTCCTTGGAACATGATGGAGCATCAGAGCTTTTCCAACCGCATTTCTGATCTCTGTTACCAGACTGACTTATCTTTGTCGTTATGACAGAGGCCAAATTCACTATACTGTATCATGTACAATTTGCCCTTTCACTTTACTTGTCGCACACCCACAGTTCTTACACGGAATCGATATTGACAATTTTCATCATCGTCATCATCATCATCATCTTCTTCACTAGAGTCATCTTCAACTCTGTCCCATCTCGCATAGTCCAGAGCTGAGTGTCCCTTGGGTTTCGGGATTGTTTGCCATCCTTTTGAGTCTTGTATGGAGGATTCCTTGCCTCTATGTTGTAAATCATTAGCTCTTTCAGGCTCAACTTTCTGATCTCTTATCATTTCAGAAGATTCCTTGATGCGCGGACTTCTAGGGACATCAAGTTCTGGTTCAGCTTTGAGATCCTTTGCTACAACTGAAACAACTGCATTTTCTTTTTCATTATATTTTTCCTCTTCTTCCTCAATTGTAAATGGCTCTTCCTCAATTATCTTTTCCTCTTCTTCTAACTCTGCTTCATTTATCTCTTCCTCTTCTTCCAACTCTGCTTCGGACTCAGGTATTGGAGCAAGTGACTTTCCTTGAGCAAAAAGAAAAAGTAATTATTTCTTACTGGCAGAACTGAAGGCTACAATTTCACAATTAAATTATTTATTATAACAAGTTTTATAAAAGTTATATGTTTCTTGACAAAATTACTTCCCCAATAGTTCATTCTATTAGTAGGATCCGTACAGAGTTCTAAACCATAAAAATTTTTGGGAGTGAGATAAAATGCCAATAAATAGGAAATAAGAGGTTCTACCAGCTGTGTCTTTAAACGAGCTTGGAGGTTATGATAAACTTCTGAGGACGGATTCAACTCAATGAGCCTGTTGACATCAAAAAGTGCTGAGTGGTACTCCTTTAAAGTGACCAGGGTCTGCGCCCGCAGCATCAATGCTCCAGTGTGATTGTGATCAAGCTCAAGCACTGAGGTACATTCTTCCGCTGCCTGAGATGAAAATAACAACATCAATAACACTCAAACACCACATGACCAAAATAGCCTAGATATTATATACTAGTTCAGTTATTTCCCCTAACCACACTATCTAGCAAAACAACAGAACATGAGCCAATCCAAAGTCATCTTGTTCTTACTTAATAGACTACAGACCAAAACCTTTCTTTTTCAAATGATTCATTTCAACAAGTAAACCATTACAAATTTAATTCCAATCAAATGATCCATACCTGTTAATGCATCTTGAAACAAGAAAAATGTATTGTTCTGACACGGCTCAAGAAAATCATTACAAAATTTAGTTTTATCACTTTTTTTATTATTGTTTATAACACCATACACTCCCGTGACTGATAAAATGCTAAATTGATCATACATAAAGCTAAAAAATCTACTAATTTAAGTTCAAATAATCCAATACTATTATATTAAAGTGAACCTTTGAGTTTCACTAATTGCAATCCACGTAGTTACAATTAACAGCCTTGTTATTCTTTAACTTCAAAATTCGAAACTGATTCAACAAGATTTTCATTCAAAATCAATATTTCGCTCCGATTCAACTTATTTTAATCCCACAAAAAAAATATTATTCCAAAAAAAAAAAAAGTTATTGAAATGGAACCTTCTTGAAATCGTGAAGTTTCAAGAAACAAGCGGCTCTATTACTATGCAAAGCGATCTTCTGCGGTTTAGCTTTGGCCGTCGAAAGCGCCTCCGTGTAGAACCCTAACGCCTCCGAGTACCGTCCCTCTCTGTAAAGCTGGTGAGCTCTCTCGATCTTGTTGAGCGGCGCTGACCCTACAGATGCCGCTGACGCCATCCCGATCAACGGTAACGATCTCGATCGCGTCGGAAACTGATCAATCAATCTGGACCGTCCAAATTCAAAATTTTGAACGGAAAAAGTTTCTAAACAGAAAAATAAAAAAAAAAAAAAAATTATACAGAGCGTGTATTGTACTGTTGTGTGGGGACGAAGAGCAATTATAGCGGTGTGATTAGTGAAGTGTGGAGGAGTATGCTGGTCCGGTGTTATGTGTAAAATGATTGAGGGTGTAATTATATATTTATATTATTATGATATTTTAGGGTGCGTTTAGTTCAGTATTTCTATTCATATTCCCAATTCTATTCTCGAAATATTGTTTGGCACATTATTCCAGAAATATTAGTGAATTTTTAAATTACTTTTAGACCTCTTAAGTTTATTAATTTTACTAAATACCCCTCAGAAAAAAGTTTAAAAATTAGCAAAAACACCCCCACTTACCCATACTTGCTAGATTCCAGCAACCACTGTCGGTGGTAGCCAAAATCTTTCACAACAGCTTAAACCAAGCCCGGAACTGATCAGTTATTTGCTGGAAAATGCCAGATATGGCCGTTAGCGATGGCCAAAGAAATGGTCATCGTTGATGGTTAGCAACAGCTAAAGATGGACCTTTACTGCAGTCGACGGCCACATTTGGGGGTAGACCTGGCCTTTTTCAGCCAGATCCGTGGTGGATCTGGCCGAAAAAGGCCATAGAGACGCGTTATGACACAGATCCGACCGGTCTGTGTCGTAACGAAATTTTTCGGCCAGATTCCGACGGTGGTGGCCGGAATCTGGCACTGCGGGTGGTGGGGGTATTTTTGTCATTTTACATATTGGGGTGTTTAATTAAATTAGCAAACCTTTGGGTTTTTTTTATAAATTTTTAAATTTTACCTCGTAATACTCCCCTATCCACCTACCCAAAATTATTCCCAAAATCCTATCTAAAATAATGAACCAAACGCACCCTTAGGTTTTTAAATTTTTGAGAGTTGTGAATGCCAGATGGCATCATGTGGTTTAATCCCACCAAACTTTTGTCCTAATTAGGGTGTGTTTAGTTCATTATTCTCATGCTTTTTATAATGGTATTTTAAAAAAAAAATAAAGTTGGGTGATTATCACGAAATAGAATTTAACAATTAACAAAAACAACTCTTAAGTTTGTTAATTTACTAAACACCCTTGTAATAAAACATTAAAAATTAACAAAAACACTCACATCCACCCATTAAATATCGGTAGCCGACCACCACCATCAGAGGGTGGCTGGAGTCATCATATCGGTGCACAACTGGCTGGATCTAGCCGGTTGTGCGTCGATTTGACATTTTTCAACCAGATCTACCGTGGATCTAGGAGGAAAATGCCAGATCTACGGCTAGATCTAGCCATTGACGGCCATGATCTAGCCGTGTTTGGTGGTCAATAATAGCTAAAGATATGGTCGTCGTTGACGACTAGCAACGGTTAGATCTTTAGCCGTAGAGCTGGCCTTTTTCGGTCAGATCTACGGTGGATTTGGCCGGAAAAGGCTAGATCGGTGCACTATAGGCCATATCGGTGCACAACTAGCTGGATCTAGCCGGTCATGCGTCGATATGACCTTTTTCAACCGGATCTACCATAGATTTGGGAGGAAAAGACCAGATCTACGGCTAGATCTAGCCATTGACGGCCATGATCTAGCCGCGTTTAGTGGTCAACAATAGCCAAAGATATGGTCGTCGTTGACAACTAGCAACGGCTAGATCTTTGGCCGTAGAATTGGCCTTTTCCGGCCAGATCAACGGTAGATTTGGCCGGAAAATGCTAGATCGGCGCACTACCAGCCAGATCCAACCGATAGTATCCCATTATACAAGATTCTGACCACCTCCGACGGCGGTGGCCGGAATGCCCAAGGTGGTCAGAATCTAGCAAATGTGGGTGGATGGGGTTTTTTTTGTAAATTTCTAAACTTTTTTTTGGGGGGGGGGGGGGGGTTTAGTTAAATTAACAAATCTTGGGGGTTTAAAATGATTGAATAAAATATAATAGTATTTTCAAAATAGAAAAAACAAATGTATATTTTGGATAGGATAGGGAAAAAAAATTGAAACAAATGAATAGATCAACCATATCCTATTCCGTCATGTAACTTTACCCATTCTTGCATTACCTAGTCATCGTGTAACCTTACCCACCAATTTTCTTGCATTACTTAGCTGGTCATATACTCATATTTGGTAACGACTCGGTAAGGTTGTCGGTGTATCAAAAAATCTTTCACCGTTAAGTTTAACTAACCAAATTACAATTTGGGGGTGAGAGTGTTAGTTTCCTAAAATTGGAAGGAAAAAGTTTTCACACCAAACCTCAGGGGTGACAGGGTAATAAACCCTATGTTAAGACGTATAAAACTTGATAAGTTTGATATTTGGCATCAACGTGGCTCAGAAAACTGAGAGATTTGAATCAATTTGATCTAAAATAACTGGTTTCTCATAAATAATAAGAAGCACAACTTGGCTTTACGTGCCAACAGTTTTCATCATATGAAGGTGTTAAAACATAAACTGTTAATTCAAGGATTGAATCCTTCAACTGCAACTATGCTGCAATTTTCTTTTTCCTAGTTTGAATTAGAGTCGAGAACTGGAAAGGATTTGTGTAGAATTTCAACTGCATGATCGAGCTCTTGCTCTGTTATTATCAATGGAGGCACTAGCCTGACAACGTTGCCTTTTCCGGCAGTGAGTACAAGGAGGCCAGATTCTTGGCATGCATCTAGGAGGGGAGAAGCAGGAACATCCAACTCGATTCCGATAATAAGCCCAAGCCCACGTATTTCTTTGACATGGGGATTTCCTCCAAGCTTCTGCTTTAAAGTTTCTTTGAGGTACTGGCCTTTCATGGAGACACTGGCCAAGAAACCAGGTTTCGAGATTTTGTCTAGAACAGCAATGGCAGCATTACAGACTAGGGGACTGCCGGCAAAAGTAGTTCCATGGTCACCGTAATTTATGGCAGAAGCAACTCGTTCAGTCACTAGAACAGCTCCAATGGGTAGACCTCCAGCGAGAGGTTTGGCAAGGGTCATTATATCTGGGAAGACACCATAGAACTTGTGTGCCCAAAGGTATCCAGTCCGGCCTAAACCACATTGAACCTGCAGCATGAGCAAAGAATGGAATTAGAAGGGGAATAACAATCAATTATGGTCAACAGAATCATAAAGAGCAACATATAATTGAGGGAAGTCATTGATGAAGAAAAGCAGTAGATGCTAATTCTAGCTCTTAGAATAAAAGTGTCTTGCGTGTATTTGAAACATGGAAAACTCTGAGCAGATTAAATTTCTCTCTGCCCCTATCTATACAATGACATAATAAGATGAATAGTGATGCGAGAGCACTAAATTTGGTTGTTGTATTTGATCTTTCAGCCAAAAAAATCAAATAGAAAGGTGAAAAGATGAAAACCAGTTAAATTAACCAATTTGCCGAGAAATCTATTATACATCGGATGACCATGACAAACTGCATCGACCAATTTCCAGCAACTTGCAAGAGTTATACCACAACCACAATTATATCAATACAACACTACAAGTAAATCCACATGCGACATTGGAAAAAATATCACAACAAATGTTAATGATTCCACAAGCGATAATGAGCAAGTTGCCAGTCGTAGTCTTTTATAAACTTTAAAGGTACCTCTCAAACAACTTGTGGAGGATCAGACACAAGGAAAATATGTCTAGTCTTGAATTTGTTGAACCAGTGGCTTGAAAGAGGAAGAATAAGCTGAATATGAATGGGGAAAGTTTGGTAAACGTAAATTGAACTTGGCAACTTGCTTAGAACAGTTAGTCCTTATTTATAATTTTGATATTCCTGAGGAAAGGTAGAAGTGTTTAGTCAGGGATCTTTCACTTTTCAAAGGATGTCCTTCACTGTTTGGACAAGCATCAGTGTGTATCAAGTATCAGGGGATTGATAGAGGCAACTGGAAAGCACAAAGGTCTTAGACAAACTAATGTAAGCTAGAAGATGCAGTTTTTTGAGGTGACATTATGATGTTATATACAAGAAATGTTTGAACTTGCTGAATTTTATTGACACGGGCAACCACTTAAAGGCAAAGAAAATGGAACATCAAATACAAAAAGTCTAAAAGCCAAGCTCCAAAAAATTAAACAGATGAGACTGGGATAGGGGAACCAATAGGAAAGGTTTAGAAGATGAGTCAAACAGAGTTCTTTTCTCTTTTGTTTTCTGATTGGAACACACCCATTCAGAAAAACAAGCGTGTAGGTTATTATGGTTGAGCATTGGAAGAAATTGATCTTAAATTGCATAGTGTTTCCAAAACTTCATCTTGCACAAATCCAACATATAGCCGTTATATAGTGGATGTAACAATAAGAAGGGAGCTGATTACCTCATCAAAGACAAGAAGAGCCCCGGCATCATCACAAGCACTACGTAGAAATTGTAAAAATTCTTTTGTTGCACTATATATGCCTCCTTCACCCTGGATGGGTTCCACAAATACTGCTGCAGTTTTGCCACGCTGAATCAGTTTTTTGGTGGCTTCTATATTTCCGTACTCCACAAAAGTGACCCCAGGCATGACAGGTTCAAAAGGTGACCTATAGTGTTCCTTGCTTGTCAGAGCAAGAGCACCCATGGTCCTTCCATGAAAGCAATTGGAGAAAGCTATGAACTCCGTGGCTGGCTCTTTAGCATCAGGATTTGAGTGTCTCTGAAACTTCCTGGCAAATTTAATAGCTGCTTCATTTGCTTCCGTTCCCGAATTGGTGAAAAACACACGATCAGCAAAAGAAGAAGCCACTAGACGCTTAGCAAGCTCTATCTACGACAATAACATAACCGATATTAGCCATAAGAAGACTTACCATACCAAAGTAGAAAATACCCGGTTGACTCAGAGCACAACATCAGTAGTATACAACAAACAGTAAGTTCTGTAAAACTCATTTCTGCAGTAGTTTCAACTACTGTTATAGACAAAGACAGGTAATTTGTATAACTCCAGCTTCTATACAAATTCATTCACTTTTCTAACCCATAAACAAACACGACTTCTTAGATTTTTATTGTTCAATAACCAAAAAATAAAAAATAAAAAGAATCATTAATGCATACTTTAACATATTTCTTAACTCATAGTTTAATCAAACTCACT